CTCTCTCTCTCTCTCTCTCTCTCTCTCTCTCTCTCTCTCTCTCCCTCCCCGCCCCAAGCATCGTGATTCGCCTCGAGATAAATAGAGAGAACGGTGGTTCATTTTTCCGTCATCGCGCGATCAATTTTCCAAAACCGCGGCGGTCGTAGCGAAGCTACGGATGCTTCGAATAGCGCAGGAGATCCGGAAACACTCGCCAGACGAATTCTTGTCACGACAACGCCCCGTTGTCGTATATAGTTATTATTAAGTAAATGTAATTGACACACGCGGCTACAAGTTGCACCACTCGAACATCCTCGACGCAGCAACGCGAGACATTTATCCAGGATTAGGGGTCATAGGGAGCACGTTTAATTTCGTAGACGCAGCTTCGAAGTGCAAGTAGATCAAAACACGTCAGTTCAGCAATTAATTGAGCCCGAGAAAAAGGTAGAATTAAACAGCTGTCACGCCACCGCTAATGATGCTTCATCCCATTGTCGCATATGCAGCTTAATCGCGCAGCTAGGGATTTGCTTATGAACGTTGAAAACCGTCTTTACTTGCCCGTGCACCGTCTCTGGTGCATCTGTCGGTGTGCGCGCAGAGCGATATATTTCTATTATTTTATACGTAAGGTGTGTATGTAAAATATGTGTATATAAAAATAGGCAGCCTAAGAACGGCGCGAACTCCTCGTTGCACCAGCGACGACTAACGATCGGTCGAGCTGTGTATGTGCAGTACGTATTATAGTACATGTACGTGCGAGTGTGACGCGAAGCATATCGCGCGCGTGTAAATTATTTTCTCGTTCACGGCGACTTCAATCAAAAAGAAAAAAAGTAAAAAAAAAAAAACAGGAAAAAATTAACATGTTCACTGTCAACCGACGCGCAGGCGCGTCCAGACTATAATTTGCGCTTGTGCTTCCGACACACACGATCCATCTTCCGAGCACGCGAAAAATTTTATACAGTCCGTCTAGACTTCACATCGACCCACTCGCTGAGATCATTTTTTTAAATAAGGACACAACAGTCCGCGATATATCTTTTTGCAAAAGATATTCCCGACGGAAATAAAATGTCTAATTAGCAATAGTAAACGTGTCAATTCAATGATTTGTTCGTGCGGCCCGTCTCTCCTTCTTTCAAAAGCGCGATCTGCAACGTGTCTTGCAAGATGTAACTTCGATTTAGAGTTTAATTCGAGAGAAACATTCAAGATGCTAATCGTATATACGCTTCTCTCTCCCGCCTCTCGGGACACATTATATACACACACACACATACATACGCGTTCTTTCTCCACCGAAGAATCAACACAGAAATAACAAGACAGAAAACGAAGAATCTTTTATGCAATTGTACAAAGATCAAACCGTTGTTATAGTTCGCTGGCGATCGGTGTAATTCTACTTAAAGTTCGATCTATCTACTGCTGTGATATACTGTAGCCGAAACCAAAAAACAGTCTGGAAATAACAAATAAAGGAAGTCGTGGTCTCGAACGAGTTTTTCACTGATCTGCGATCACGATCTCTGAAAAAATCCGCGGCTCATGTAGATAATGTACAAGGAAAAATATTATTCTGCTGCTGAGAAAAGCGATTACTCAGTCTACACTTTCCTTCCTTTAACTAATAATCACCTTGAACAAAGAACATTTTCTTTTGATAATAGTTTTCAAATTTATTCAAATTTTAGAGAAGCTCATTATTATGTAGAAGAAGAACTTTTATTTTCTTCACGAAAATACTATAAAACTTTATCGAAACAAAAGTCGTCTCTATGTAGTAAGCAATTATTTCATATTCCTGATTAAAATGCTAAACTTACTAGAATTCAAAACATACTTTGAGTAAATTTGATACGATAAATACTTGTGACAGATTTCCGGATATATAAACTTAGCAAAACTTGAAAGACAAGTTTATTTGCATGCATTACATATATTTTTCTATGCACGGGGTCAGGAGAGGAAGAAGAGGGGCGACTCTCTCATCTCGGAGAGTTCGCGAGTCAGGTGGCGGTGGCCGGTGTCGAACGCCAAAGATATCCGCGTTGTTTTTTGTGCGGATGTAAATCTCAGCCGCGACGTACGCTCAACACCTGGATTACGCTGTCCCGCCACTGGCGTAGCTCGCGCCGCGTGATAAATCGCAGACAAATCATCCCGAATAAATAGCGAGAGGCGTTACGCCAAAAGAGATCGATGAATATTATCGTGACACCTCGCACTCGTACCTCCGCCGACCTTGTTCCCTCTCCGATCGAGTCAAGTCGACTCGACTCGTTACGAGCGTCAGGTGGCAAGCGCATCGCGAATAATTATGCTCCCGGTATCCGCGGCGTTTATGACGTAAGATATCGCGAGATTTAGTCCGTCCCGATCTATCAATCGCGCCATCTGCTATTGAGGCACCCCTCGCCGTGGAGTTAACGGCCTTTTAAAAAGGCCGCCGCCATCGCCGTCGCTGTTGCTCATGCCGAAATATTAATCAGGCGCTGCGAGGAAGAAGAATAGACAGAATAGAGTCAAACTGTCATAAACTGTCATGGTCGCATAAACAGACTCCAGGAGAGAATGTAAAAGAGCAGCGACGAAGGTAACGACGACGGAAGGAACAGCGTCCATTCTCTTTGTTTCTTTGACAAAAATCGGGATAATTAGTTTCCTTTAATGAAATGGTTATCGAATTCATTGAAAACTCTATGCCAACTTTTCGATAGTAGTTTAAACTTAGATTTAAGTACAAGAAATACATTATTGAACAGAGTTTAAATCTAAGTATAGTGCTATCGAATAATTGAGTGAATTCATCGATTGAGACCTTGATAGCATATCGCGCCAATGACCGAGCAATAACACCATAATTTAGAATATAGTAACACCATAATTTAGAAAGAGTTTTTCTTGCGCACACAGAGCGTACATTTCCGAATCAAATTACCATCGTAATCACGGTAGTAACTTTATCCGCGTTTCGGCGAACGTAAATATCAGGCGGTTAATCTGGCCGAGAGTTCTCCGGCGATTCGGGATCAATTAATACGGAGTCGCGGCGCAGCTCGTAAAGAAAATGCACTTCTCTACCTTGTAACTATCGCGTGCCAGCCGGTGGTAAATTGCACGCGGCGATAAATAACGTTACTCGGTCATATCATTTTCCGCCAGGTTGCAATGAACTCTGACCCGCGCGCATCGCGTCATGCCACCGTACTGCGCCGCCGATGCGCGGCAGCAAATGCGGAGATCTCTTACAAAATACCGAGGAGACGATTGCGCACGCAGCATCCGCATAGCCGAACGGCAAAAATTTTAATTAACCAAATAGCGTTAATTAATTAACGAGTCGACTACTCTCCAACGCTCATAATTCGGCGCGGAAATTTAAGCGTCGGGATGCGGCACTTCTGACCCGCAAACTGCGTCAGCTACCGATCCGCATCCATCCTGCTGTAAAGCACAGTAAAAAGGTCTTCAGAATTGGCGGCTAATAAGATATTCGCCGAGGAAGGATGATAAGGACAACGCGTCAAAGGAAGCCTCGCGTTACTCGATACGCGCAACTTTGCGCGTGATATCCCGCTGAGAAACGGAAGAACCCTCGTTGGTTAGCCGCGATTACTCCAAGATCTGAAATTATCGATTTCAACTGCAACAACTTTTAGTTGAGAAAAATGGGGATTTCTACTTATCATACATAAGGAAGAGAGCATACATCAGGTCGTTCGAAATAGCGTCGAATCCAAAATATTATGACGATAATACATACTTGAGAAAAACAATGATGCAAAAACATAAAGCTCATTACTTCTAAGCTTTATAATCACAATCTCATCCGGTTTTATGTTATCTATTACTGCGTTCACATAGACACTCATGTGTATGTAATGTTCGCAAGTTAAAACATCAAGATCAATCACTTTCTTCATTGCGATATGGAGAACATTAAACCTAAAGTAAGACAAAAGATTTCCAAAAAATATGTTTCTATAGCAATAAAAATTACACTTGCCACTTGCATAATATTTATGAATAAATAATTTTCTGAAACAGATTTTGCCAATTATTAAAATAAATATTCTACAAAGTATTTATTCATATAATAATTAATAATGTACTTAAAAATATTTGTCCACTGTTGGCACTATAAATACTATAAATACGTTGAGTTTGATCCTTGAATTTGACATTTGAAGATATTTCATACAGTTCTGGATATTTACCATACTAAGTCTAAAAAAAACTAATTAGCATCATGTTATAATAGTCTGACAGTTATTTTGAAATCGTTAACAATAGTAGAATAATTTTTATACAATTTAGAAGTTTTTCTTACTATATTTCTTGAAAAACGTGTTCCAAAGTACTCTGCATTAGTGAACTTCCTCAGGTACTTTAGAAGATTCATGTTCTATATATACTATATATACTATATATACACGAAAGTGTACAATATTTAAAGTTATATTGGTTAGATTTTACAACATTACATTATACATTGTATACGTAACTTGAGAATATATAAAACATTTGCTATAGAACAATATGACACATAAACTTATACAATTTGTTGTACAAATATAAAAATAAAACCAAAAATATTTTTTGTAGAGTTTGGTATCCAGTTTGGTTTTTTATAAACGAACTATAAAGCACGTTTTATGTGTTTGCCAATCCTCACAACAATGTTATATCTATTGTTTATGATGATAGAATAAAAATACGTCTAACCTGTCGTTGAGTTGTACTACTTGATACAGTGAAGATACGTCTAACTCATTAGTAACAGAGAGAAGCATAAAAATGACCATCAGCCTGGTTTCAATGGCCAGAGCTAGGCGCATTTTCGAGACGCCATCTAACAAAGTGCGCCTTTACTACGTTCGTTAGGCACATTTTCACGATGGTAACGATAAAATGCTCCTGGTTCGTGCCCGTTGTATTTTGTACAATGATAGTAAGTTAGAAAAAAACAGACGTCCAATCGCTCTATTCTTGTCCCACTGATGAGCGGACCGCGCGACGTATTCTTAGTTCTCTTTTAACAATAAATGAGCCTCTAAAAGTGACTCATAGCCAATTAGAAAGCTTAATAAGCCATTTTTAGAGGCTCATTTATCGTTAAAAGAGAACTCAGAATATGGGCCATTATCACAAAACTAGGTCATCTCTCATCAATCTCGTCTTTCTTACGCTGCGTTCTGCATAATTTTGCAAGGAAAAAAGATTTGGAAACTGGACAATATAAAACAATAAATAATAGCTCGCGGCTATTATCACACGATTGTCGAGCAGATATTATTATAATTATTATAAAAAAATATTAATATTCGAATAAAAAATGGTAGTGATTATAATACTTAATCGACAATTGTGTGATAATAGCCGCGAGCAGATAATAACTGAATAACGATAATAACAATAAATAACAATAACTGAGCAGCAATAATGGCAATAATAACTGATTAAAAACGAGATAAAAAAATTATTGTAACGGTACACCCGAGTTGCTTTCCTATACGTAATAGCAATAATTAAATAATAACCGAATAAATTAAATAAGAACCGAATAAAGAAGTAATAATACTCGAATATTAAATGGTAATGATAATAATATCTGCTCGACAATCATGTAATAATATTCGCGAGTGGATAATAACGGAATAACGATGATCGAATAATCGATAATAACAATACTTGGGTAACGGCTCTAACAAAAACTCTAAGCTCCAAAAAGGCTAGGTAAATCGACCATCGTAATGGCCCGCTCGGGACGTTGGCTGAGCGGCGCTTGTGGGGGTGCGCAGCCGGATCATATAAACACGCGTACGTAAGCACGTGCTCGAGCGTCACGCCATAACACTCTCAACTGTCGAGACAAGTACGAGGGAGCTGCCGCGTTATTTTCTAAATTATTTCGCGCCTATTTTTAATATTGCATTTTGACTTCGCCATAATTAAAACGATAATTAACATGAATTAACATGAATATTAACATGAATAATTAACATGAATTAACATGAATTTAACATGAATGTGTTTACTCTTGACGTCGAGTACTGTCAAATCAATTTTTTTACGAATTTTCGGAGAATGGATGACGCTACGAGTCTCATATTCTAAAACTATAATTCTTAAGCCTAGCACAACTCAGAACAAAAAGATCTCGGTTGGAACAAGAAAGATAGTATAAGTTTACTCTTGGTCCGATAGACTGTTTGTCAAAAAACTTTTTTTTAATTTTTCGGGCTTCTATTTAAACTTATTGATTTGTGCTTTTGGAACAATGTTTGAAACAACTAGAACAATCTATATCGGTATCGGAATGCTTTATTTTCAAAAAATGGGATGCCAGGTCAAAAACATTTTTTTTATTTTTTGGACTTATAATTCAACTTACGGATTTGTTCTTTTGGAACAATGTTTGGAACAACTAGAACAATCTATTGCGGTATCAGAATGTTCGATTTTCGAAAAGTGGGGTGCCAGCTTAAAAAATCATTTTTTTTGTTTTATTCGAAAACCGTTTCGAATGAAGCAATATCACTTTGGAACAATGTGGTACAAAGTCAGAACAATCTGGAACAACTTTCAAAATTATAAATTTCAAAAAGTGGGGTGCTAACTTCATACACTGGAGTTGAGTGGAATTTGCTAGAATCGAAGGATGCGTTAGTATTCATCGACAATCATGACACTCAACGCAACAATAACGATATTCTTACCTACAAGATATCGCGGTTGTACAAGGCACGTAACTCTTCGGAAATATTTCAGGATAAAAATTTGGAATAGTAAAACCAATTGAATTAATAAAAACGTAGAAGCGATGACGAAATGACAAGTGCGCAATTAACACGTTCGTTATCGCTGTGTTCGTTTTCACAGCCATTCTTATGTAACAATGTAAAACAGACTTAATTTGTGTGCACGGAAAGAATTATTGCCACACATATGTGACATTGGTCTGTCTCGTGAAAAACCGATGCGTCACACATACGTGATGCTAATAATGAGTGTGTTACATTGCATATAAGTGTAATTAATCGCATTGGAAAAGTCGATTGTACAGCCAACAGAAAACCGATAGAACGAGGTAGAGCATACGCGCCTCAAATTACACTCACTTATCTTTGGTAATTCTGGAGTAATTTTTCACAGCCTTTTAAAGTAATTTTGGCGGTTGGCAAAGTTCAATTTCGAAAAGATGTGCGTATTTCCATTTGCATCGTCTCCTGGATGAAAATGTGTGTTAGTTTCATTTTATTCCCTAAGTAGCACACCCAGAATGTTGAAAATAATTTGCCAATATCCCAAAGTCGCGTCCATAATGTTGGATTCAACTTAATGTCGTAGGAATATCGCTCATGGGCCGAAAGTCGATCATATTACTGCAGGTTATTTAAGTCATATATGTTAGCATCTAAAGCACATTCTAGGATAATATTTTACAGTTTTTTAAGTAATTTTCGCGTTTGCAAAGATGTATTTTCGAAAACGACATGACGTGTGCGTATTTTACTCTGCATGATCTCTTGGATTACAATGTGTGTTAATGTCACTCTACTCACTCAGTAACACGCCCAGAGTGTTGAAAATAATTTTCCAATATCCCAAAGTCACATTCTTAATGTTCGATCCACAATATCTCACCATATCTCACTAAATTTTTCCGCTAGATTAAGCCGAGATTCGAATCGATGTGTTTGGAATCTCCGCTAAACTACTGAGCCGAGATTTGAATTAAGTTGTTTGGTCTCCGGTATTATTCGTATTATTATAAATTACCAATTCCAATAATATAATAATTAATAATATAATAATATAATAATTCGTAGAACTGAATGTCTCGTCAAATTTTAATGTTCTTACTTTGGAAAGCATATTTTATATTTTATGAAGATACAGTTAATAGATAGGAGAATTAATACATATATTACATGATTCATCGATAATATAATTGTAATAAAATGATATACGCCATATTATAATAAAATAATTTTCTAAGCATTATTTTGTACATGAATTTATACGCGTGGAATTATATATTTATTTGCCGAGTCGTTTGCCACAATATATTCCACTCATCAAGTCTGAATTGAACGTTGTTTTATCTCTGCATTCTTCGTATCTTTATGTTTCGTACTTTTCAAACTAATCCTCTTGTGACATTTATTTTTAGCATCCTGACTAGATAATGTTGTTCATATAATATTATAACTTTGACCGTTTGCCCCACGTCGTTGTTATCATCATAGAAAATACGAGAAGCATCATTATTTTTATTAGTACTTTAATTTGTAATAAATCTTATCGGTACCGTAGCGCTATGTAAATGTAAATGTAAATTATTGTAACTTGCCGATAAATCACATTGCGCGATTGCATTCAGCGAAAATAATTAACCTCGCTTTTATCGACTTACACTGAAAAAAAAGATTACGACGATTTGATAATAATTGTCGTAATCTTTTTTTTCAGTGTACATCGATATACGAGTAGATTCATGATCTAATGTACAAATAACCTTAACTTTAAGCAAACAAATTTAAGCTTAATCAAAGATGCATGAAGCTGTAATTATGTCGGATAAAAGCAAACTATGAATATCGATCTAAATTTTGTGACTTGGGTACAATTTTATTTCCCTAAAATTTGTCATTCATTAAAATCAGAAACATTCCATATAATCGATTATTTAACACACTTCGAAATGTATAATGTATCGTTCCCGCGCCTCGACGTCCCACGCCCTGACTTCCCGCGATCCGACATCTTGCCCCCGGCTATATTCCGTCGTATAGCACTGCGAATTCACGCATATAACGCTATCTGTCGCGTAAATAAGATTCTATTGAGAGGAAACTTGTCGATTCATATCGAAATACCGACGAGAGTCCGAAATATTTTACAGTGAAACAGGAATGATAACTGACGACACGCGTGTTGCACAGCGCGTTATGTACTTTGATCATTGACTCGAAAAGAATGATGAAAAGAATGATGATGAAAGAATGAATGACGTGATTATTATTGTATTCGAATTTAATTCTCTACTGGAGCATAGCATTATCGCATAGCTGTTATCTTTATTTTTACAAATTCATTTCCTTTATTCAATTCTTTTTCTTCCTTTTTATTCCGGAATGTTTAATTGATCTTTTGATAAAATTTGCTGGACTAGCGAAGTTTCGACTCGAGTAGGCCGACAGCCGACTTCTGCATAGTCGAGAATTATCGCAAACGTAACAATCGCCACTTTGTCGACTGTTATTAATTAGTTTGCATTTCAGCTCGTCACTCGTATTTCATACGTAGCAGCACATTTTATATATAGCAGCAGACTTATATTCTACAGAGTGGTAGCTGTTATCTTTAGTATACAGAATGCGAGCGATAGTGTGCGCTTTAAGCTTATTGTCGGCAGTGGTCGCTTATGACGACACTGCTTACCGCGACCCACTTTATGTGCCGGGCCACAGTGTGATAGTACATCTCTTCGAGTGGAAATGGCTGGATATCGCGAAGGAGTGCGAACAATTCCTCGGTCCTATAGGATACGGTGGTGTTCAGGTAAGAGAAATCAAGGGAATCAGAGGCGCGCAATTTTAGCCACGTGTGTCTTTGCGGCAATCATTCTTTCAAAACAAAAACTCTAGTCGTTTCACGACAGAATTAAAGAGAGATTAATGAGAGAATTAAATTCACGAACATCGAACAGATTTGTATGCAGAAAATTCTATTTTGATCGAGCTAATCTAATAAATTTTGAACCACTCGAACATATAGAAACATAAGGCCGATTAATTAATCGTTAGGATGATGAATAATAAACACGCGACAAAACAAAGACGGATTAAAAGCTATGAATTTTTTGTGGGACGCTGCCAGTCGACAAATCAATCTTCTTGTAGCAATCAACTCGGCCGAAATGATGAAAGTGATTGCCGTATTAACCTATTAGAACCCATGACTAATTTAGCTGGGATATCATTCAAATGATATATGGAATCCTCTAGTAAAAATAATTTCCTCTGATAAAAATAATAATTTCGGCGAAAAAAAATTGCAAAAAGAATTTGTTTATAACAAAATTGTTTAAACAACTTATTTAAAAAATTGTTTTTTTGAAAATCTGATGCTGCCAATCCGCTTTGAAAATTAGGAAAACATGTATGTTCAAAATCGAACTTCTATTTACTACAAAAAAAAATAAACAATTATAAACAAATTCTTTTTGTAACTTTTTTGCGCTGAAATTGTTATTTTTATCATACTAGAGGATACCATATGTCAGTTGAATGATATTCCAGCTGAGTTAGCTATGGGTAGTAAAGGGTTCAGCATTATATGAAATTATTTATTATTTTTTTATAACAGATAGGAGTCTGACTTTGAACATATTATACACGTTTTCGATCTAATTTTCAAAACGGAATCGATTGACATCATATTTTCAAAAAAATATTTTTTTAAATAAGTTGTTTAAACAATTTTGTTATAAACAAATTCTTTTTGCAACTTTTTTCCGCCGAAATTGTTATTTTTATCATATTAGAGGACTCCATATGTCATTTGAATGATATCCCAGCTAAGTTAGTCATGAGCTCTAATTGGTTAATAGTTCAATCCCTTACATCCTGTTGTGATCTCCATTGAAAGCCTTCGTGAATTGCAGGTTTCTCCGATCCAAGAAAATATAATCGTAGCGTCCAGACCGTGGTGGGAACGTTACCAGCCTATATCTTACAAATTCGAGACGAGATCGGGTACAAAAGCAGAATTTGTAGAAATGGTTTCGCGGTGCAACCGAGCCGGCGTGAGGATCTACGTTGATGCAGTGCTCAACCACATGACCGGCGATTTCAAACAAGCACGTGGTACCGGTGGTTCGACGGCGGATACCTATAAGCGTCAGTACCATGACGTGCCGTATTCATCGGAACATTTTCACAATCCGCCATGCGGCATAAATAACTACAACGATCCAGTAAATGTACGGAATTGTGATCTAGTCGGTTTGCACGATCTCAATCAGACATCCGAGTATGTCCGTAAGATTATCATCGACTTCATGAACGAAGCTATCGACATGGGCATCGCCGGTTTTCGGTTAGTACAGAACGTCTGTTAATTGTTTCAACAAAAATATATATATATATATATATATATATATATATATATATATATATATCGTCATTTAACGCCCTCGATTGCTGGATTTCAGGATAGACGCCGCGAAACATATGTGGCCGAATGATCTTAAAGCGATCTATGACAATCTACAGGATGTGAATCCCACACACGGTTTCCGACCAAATACACGACCTTACATATATCAGGAAGTGATCGACTACGGCAACGAGGCGATCTCTAAACACGAGTATACCAGTTTGGGCGCAGTGACGGAGTTTCAATATGGCCGCGAACTGAGTAACGCATTTAAGGGGTATAATATGCTCAAGTGGCTCATCAACTGGGGAGTTGAGTGGAATTTGCTAGAATCGAAGGATGCCTTGGTATTCATCGACAACCACGACACTCAACGCAACGATCACGATATTCTTACCTACAAGACGTCGCGGTTGTACAAGGCACGTAACTCTTCGGGAATATTTCAGGATAAAAATTTGGAATAGTAAAACCAATTGAATTAATAAAAACGTAGAAGCGATGACGAAGTGACAAGTGCGCAATTAATACGTTCGTTATCGCTGTGTTCGTTTTCACAGCCATCCTGTACTTCTTATGTAACAATGTAAAACAGACTTAATTTGTGTGCACGGAAAGAATTATTGCCACACATATGTGATATTGGTCTGTCTCGTGAAAAACCGATGCGTCACACATGTGTGGTGCTAATAACGAGTGTGTTACATTACATATAAATGTAATTAATCGCATTGGAAAACTCGATTGTACAGCCAACAGAGAACCGATAGAACGAGATAGAGGATACACGCGTCTCAAATTACACTCACTTATCTTTGGTAATTCAATCGTCAATCAAGCCTTCGATACAATCAACGGAGATCGACGCGACGATCAACGTGTCAATTGTCTCTATCCAGACGTGGATCGTGTCTAATGGAATACGTTTTGCGTTGTAGATGGCGGTTGCCTTTATGTTAGCGCACAATTACGGGAACCCACGTGTCATGAGCTCCTATGACTTCCAAAACTTTGACGACAGCCCGCCAGCGGATGGCAACAACAATCTACTGTCTCCGATCATTTACCCGGACAATACCTGCGGCAACGGCAGGATCTGCGAGCACCGTTGGCGTCAGATCTACAACATGGTGATCTTCCACAACGCCGTAAACGGAACCACGGTCAACCATTGGTGGGACAATGGTGGCAATCAGATCGCTTTTTGTCGCGGTGAACGCGGATTTGTCGCGTTCAACAATGAAAGGTTCGACCTCAAGAGATCTTTGTTTACTTGCTTGGAAAGCGGGATCTACTGCGACGTTATTTCCGGGGACCTGGTCAATGGAAAGTGTACCGGGAAGACTATAAGGGTGAACAAGGACCACTATGCTGACATAGAAATTCTCACCAGGGACAAAGATGGTGTAATCGCGACGCATCACAAGGTAATAACGAGCCTCCGTTCGACACTAGTTTGATCATTTCAACGGCCGCAAAATTACAAGATCAATCTGCGCAATTTTATTACAATTATTCGCATATACTAAATGACAGTTGCATAACAAAGTCGAATTGTGAAACAGAAGAAAGAAAAGAAGAAAGGAAGTTGATAGTTTGCCAAAAAAATATTGCACAGGAATACGAATGTCTTGACGCTCAGACAATTCTTTCTCGTGAATGCAATGTTCTTACGTATTTACGAGGAATTTCAGTTGTTTATTCAGCTGATGAAGAATTTTTGTTCTTGTACGTCGTGCCTCTTCGCATTATGTCAATTACTTGTATCTTATCACACCAAGTTTCAACTTTTAAATCTTAACTCGTTCCGACAATATCTCCACGAGATTACTCGGCAATAATCAATTGTGTCAGTTGAAATACTGACATGTCGAAATGACAAATATTGCCGCGGTGTTTACGGTGGAGCTACGATAAATAATAATTTTGTGAGCACGACCATACGCTGTTGGTTGTATATTAAAATACTGTTTTTAATAATCTATTTCTCTTACCTGCAGGTGAAAGTTCCCGAAACATCGTGAAGTCCTAGTACGTTGAAGACAGACTACGGATATTCTGCTTTTAAGTCTATGTTATTATCACCACACATATATAAATGTGTTAATACAAGAGATATATAATTAATGAAAAATTTGCTCTTTTTAAATTTGTTGAAACAAAATTTTGAAACGACGGAAATACTGTTACTCGTAATCGCAAATGTTTTATTCAAGCTTGTAGTGGATTCCAAGCTCATTCCATATGAGCTTAGAATATAAATATTTTAATTGATATAAATATTTGATTGATTGAATTAGTTCTTGTGGCAAATTAATTAATTTATTTACCATCCCTTTGCTCCTATGACCAGATCCCGTAAATTATAGGTCCGCGTATTCACACGCGATTTCTTTATCATAACGATTTATATGTCGCCACTTACAACAAGCAGTAGAAAAATTACACAGAGAGTAAAGCACACGTACTATTTTTCAACAAGGTTTATTTTAACAGAAACAATGTACTGTTTGTTTTCCTCTTTTCACCATTAATTTCTACTATATATATACATGTGATATGACAGTTAATCGTAAGATAATACACGACAGACTCGCAATGGAGAAATAGAAAGAGTCGAAGGGAGATCAGGTGAGTTAAGGTGTCGCAAAATCGATCGATTTTAACGAAGCAGGGGGCGGGGAAGAAGGTCGGTTGTTGGGAAGGTGAATGGGATGGGTACCCCGGAAGATGAATGGAGAAAATCTTGAAATATCACAAAAAGAAATTGCCTTATCGCCGATTTCACCACTTTTCTCTAACTCTTTTAATCCGTAATGCGATTAAGTAAATCCTTCGCTGAGAGAATCTGTCACCGATTCTACAACGTCACATAAATTCTTTCTTTTTTCTCTTTCTCTCTCCCTCTCGTCCGTGTTTCTCTTGTTTCCTACCTTTTTTCTTTCTCTCTCTCTCTCTCTCTCTCTCTCCCCCTCTCGTCCGTGTTTCTCTTGTTTCCTATCTTTTTTCTCTTTCTCTCTCTAGTCGGACGAGTTTACCGCGTAACATTCGTTGATACGCATTGGACAGCGTGAGAACCTCTCGACTAAGACACTAAATAAAATACTACGAGACACTTGTGTAAAAGCACGACATAAATAAATGCTCAAGCGTTATGTACAGTGATCGTGTGTTTTAAGTAAAAGCCGCTGAACTTGGTTGTTAGTGTCGACGCGCCCGAGTTCATCGCACACGGACGGCGACGGGAGGTTTCACTCCCGTGCCATTGCTCGAAAAAGTACAATCTCCGAACGTCGCGTTCGTTGAGCAGCAAACGGAGAAAAAGAAAAGAAAAAGGGAAAAGAAATATTTCCGTAGTCACGTTATCACGCATACTTGTATACATATGTATGCCGAGAGGATATCGTGCCGTTAATTAGAAACAACATAGGCACGTGGTAAATATACACGGGGAGAACTGTAATTAGCCATCCGCGTAAAACCGTAGTAACATTGTGCGCGATCACAACGTCTAATTACCATTGGTAATTTTACACCGCGAAGTAGTAACAGACTTACCTAGTCAGCCGCGGCAAACGAATTTCCTTCTTTATTTGCGAGAGTTCTTTCTTTTTCTCTTTCCTTTTACCTCTTTATCTTGGCGCGTTATCGTCGGTCGTGAATTGAACGCGGAATGCGAATAAATCTCGTGACGTAGCCGCGAGATACTCACTCGTGGATATGTCTTTACGTAATTTTTTGATGAGACAATGAAATCTTTCTTCCGACAAAACGTGAACTCGGGAGCGCGGGGTGGCACGTGTCAACAGCACGTGTTACCTCGAGGGTGTATTCGTATATGTGTATGTATATGTTGTGTATGTATATGGATATGTACGTGTGTCTACTCGTGTGTATGTATGTGTACATACAGTTCTAACTTTACGTAGTCTGCAGTAAATTCAGGCTAATGTGTAAATCTAAAAATACTGCTCGTCTTACGAACTGATCTCTCTCTCTCTCTCTCTCTCCCCCCTCTCTCTCTCTCTCTCTAGCGCTCGTTCTCTTGTTTCCTCGCTCTCGCACGCGTGGCGCACACAAGCGCACACTTTGATGTCGCCCTACCACCGTTTTACGTATCTTAGTCGTTACGTGTGAATACAATAAGGCAACGGTACTATACGTTCTAAATAAATAAACGCTTGCGTTGAACGTTAAGGATTAAAGAGGGGCAAATTAAATGGGGCGCTAATGTACAATTCCCTAAGAGCTAAGACGGGTCCGTCGCACGTGAAACTTGTCGTCGTCGTCGTCAACATTCGCGCGGATTGGTGAGTATACTTGTGTATAAATGTGTCTGTGTACGCATGTTTGTGTTCGTGTGTACGTTCATGTGCTCGCACGTGGGTCTCACATTTTTTTTTTTTGTTGCACGTAGAGCGCTAGCAAAAATATAATTTAGTATATATTTATCATAATAATTCATCCATATAAAAAACTTCGTTAAAATATATAAAAGAAACAACGATTTGAGCAAATACGTATCTCCTATGTAGTTAAAAGTTATCGCGTCGAAACGTATTTATTGTTATTGCACATAATTTTCCCTAATTAGATCGTCTCTCCTTGTGTTTCACATATACCTCTGTACTCCTATGTCCCGTTTGTTTTTCTTTTTTCTTATTTTTTTTTGCCACACACTCGTATTCTCGCACGTAATCACTCCGACGCATATGCACGTGTGTACACGTACGTACTTCGCGCACTCCTCCTCCTCTTCTCTTCGTCACGTCTGTCTCTTTTCGAATCGTCGACGCCTCCTCTTCGTCTTTCATATCCTGAACTTTCGCACGCAGCTCAGAAACACGACCTCGGCCGTTAAGTTTGAGAAAGTTGTCGATCGACGATCGAGAGATGAGGCGGCGCGATCGAGAATAAGGCCCCGGCTTCGGACGATCCGCGATTCGTGACGGAATTTTATTTGCAATTTTGTGCGCGACACGATACGAGTGCGCGAAGATACGATTTTACTGTGCATATATATATATATATATATATATATATATATATATATATATATATCCATATACACATTTCTAAGGGCGTATATAGGCTTCCTTTTGTCGGAAATGTAATTCTGATTTGTAAAAAATGTATTTCTGATTTTTCAAATATTTCTTTCTCTTTAGAAATATTTCCCTCTGATAGAATTCTGTGCCGAATTACAGATCATCCCAGTGCGGGTTTGACGCGCGGGTTTGACGTCTCAACGCGCATCAAAGACCGATTCCCTACGATCACCCGATAACGTCGTCCTGGAAGACCTTATACGAAAAGTAGGCACTGGTTTGCTCGATTCACGACCGCTTTTCCGCATTCCCTCCCGTACAAAAATTCAAACGCGTCTACCGCATTGTTACTAAATCTCGCGAACGCACTTCTCGATAACAAACAATATATTTTACCACGTATACTTGCGAAAATTTCTCTCGGCAGTTTTTGGAAAACGTTTATTGGTACAAAAAGCAAAAGGTGAAGAAAAAAGAGGAACAGAACGCGAAGTTACAAAACATTTTCAGCTCGCCAACGTACGCGCTCCGTCAGGTCTCTGCGCTTCCTATCCTTAGGCTCTATATCTAATCCCGATACTCGAAACTACTCTCTTTTCTTGAGCGTTCGGTCTCTAGGCGCTAACTTATGCGAAGTCTCTCCTCTCTCTCTCTCTCTCTTTCTCTCTTTCTACCTCTACCTTCCTACCTTTCCCCTGGCCTCCAACACCCCGGCATCGCCGGAGCGCGCGGAGCCGAGTCGGTCTCCCGAGTTTTTTCTATCTAAGGGTCGATCCGGGCACTTAGGTCACTACTGACAACAGGCGGAGTCTCCACACACACTCGGGGTAACAATACGAAAGCGTCTTCCGCATCTCGCACGTCCACCGCGTGTCACTGCTTGATCGGCTTCTTGAAGACGACTTCCGGCTTGCGTACCGGACGAGGCACACGCCGTTCTATCCTGAGGGCCCGGTTCGGGTCCGGAGACGGCGACGGGGTCATACCCATACCGGCCGCTGCTGTCTCGGGCCCTAACGGGGGAGTCTCCGCCATTGTTTGTCAGTTTCCGGTGCTACTGGGTCGCCGGCCCGACGTCTGCTGTTGCTGCTGTTGCTGCTGTTGCTGTTGTTGCTGCTGCGGCTGCTGCGACTGCTGTTGCTGCTGCTGCTGTTGTTGTTGCGTCACCGCGGCGGCCGCGGCGCTCAGCGCTGGTAACGGCGTTTGGTGGCAGTGCGCGCAATGCAAGCACACCGTACAAGCGCCAAGCTTCCGAGCGAGCATAGCGCGCAACTTCAACGCTGGACCGAGCTTCATACCCATCGGACCCGTTAGATGATCCTCCGAGAGCAACGGCAGCGCGGCACCGTCTATGCGATGCTCCCGGAAATTCTGCAAACAGAAACACGGGTGTGGCACGTTATTATCTCACTGTTGAAACCGTACAAAAGATAGGTTTTCTTTTTTTTTTGTCATTTCTACGAGCGGCAGGAGACGCTTTGTTTTAATTATGTCCTGACAACGCTGCATTGTAAAACATTACATGCCAAATTCAATATATTTTACTTGTCCATTCTGATTGTAATGTTAATTTGACATATAACGTGAATATATTAAACGGTAAAATATTATATTCGCAATCTTCGCAAAATTAGAGTAACAATTTGACAATACTTGAGAGATGTGTCTTTTGCACAAACTTTTTTACCGTGTAAGGACTCCCCGGTGAGAGTACCTCGTTCGCGGAATATCTAATTTTTTTTACATCGATAATATACTCGGATTCTCTATCACGATGGTTAATTCATGAACGGTGAACTGGCGGGGTTTACGAGGTAATCGCAGGAATTCGCGGTATCCAAACTCCCAGAGCGAGTTGTACTCGCACGCCGACGCTACTTCTGCTCATCGTCGGTGCATCCCCGGGATGCAAGAAGCGCACCGCACGCATGCATGCACCGGCGGCGCTCCTCGCACTCTTTCGTCGTCGTCGACCTCCGACCGACGCGAATCGCGGCCGAAGGCCGACCCTCCTCGTGCGGCAACAGCAGCAGCAGCAGCAGCAGCAGCAGTTGCTGCTGCAACCGCGTCTCCGAGGAATCCTGCGAATTCGTCTCACGCGATTGGCGCGTGGAGAGACGAGACGGACCGTCATTTCCGCCGGCACGCAAAAAGTCAATCGGTCTTACCGGTCGAGAAGAGGAAGAGGAGGAAGAAGAACGCGAAACGGAAGGACGCGGGAGAGCAGAAAAAGACGGAGGGAAGGAAGAAGGAGGCAAAAGAACGGCAAGTGTGCGGACGCGTTTCATTCACCGCACCGGCGGCCGCGCCTCGCGTAATTGCAGCTGCAACGACGAGCGGCGGGGTGCGGTAAGCGCGCGATCGCGGACGTCTCCTCCGTAGCTCGGTGCCTCCACACGTTCGTGGAATACGGTAATTGCTCGGCCCGCTTATGAATGAAATATTCAGCGGCGTAATGCGAGTCGTGCACGCAACGGCAGACCGGTCTCCTTCGCGCGCATGCCGGCTTCTTGCCGAAGAGGGGGATCGGGATCGACGCGGATCGAGGCCGTGCATTCATGCTGCTGGGCATTCAGGTCTCTCTCTCTCTCTCTCTCTCTCTCTC